GGGGTTTTATTTGGGATTAAATGTTGGCTTTTGGGTTTTATTGGGGTTTATTTGGAATTAAATGTTTGGTTTTGGGGTTTATTGGGGATTAAATGTTGGGGTTTGGGGTTTATTGTAAATTAAACTGTGGGTTTTCACTAACTCAAGTGTTTAATTTTAAATTAAGGGCTACAGATTAAATGTTTTTAATAGGGGAGAAAAATCACTTTGAATATAAAAGTATTTAATTTTATATCTATTTTTATTTTTAACTTATATTTTTATTTTTATTTTTTATTTCTGTTTATTTGTTTGTATTTTATACTTATTTAGCTTTGTATTTATTGATATATTTATTTATGGTTAATGCTGATTGTTTTTATTTTTGTATTTATTTCTTTAACTTGTTGTATTCTGTGTATTTTACATATTTATTATTTATCTTTATATTTTATATTTGCTTGTTATCTGCGTGTTTATTTTATGCTAATTTATTTTAAATTTATGTTAATTTATATAATTATCACACTCCAATTATGACAATTCCATGAAATTCCTGATTTTCTCCTTCTCCAGGTGAACAATTTTGTCATCTTTGAGGGATTTTTCTCCACCAGAACAGGTGAGCTGGGCTGGAATTCTCCTCTTCTCCCTGGGAACCTTCCAGATTTTGGGGGATTTTCCAAATTTTGGGGGATTTTTGGGGAATTTGGGGGGATTTTTGTGTTTCTCTGGCTGGATTTTGGGTGGTTTTTTGGTGATTTTGGGGTGAAATCCAGGTGGATTTGAGGTGAATTTGAGATTAATTTGGGGTGAATTTTGGGTGATTTCTGGCTGGATTTGGGGTGAATTTGAGAAGAATTTTGGGTGTATTTTCAGTGATTTCTGGCTGGATTTGGGGTGAATTTGAGAAGAATTTTGGATATATTTGGGGTGAATTTGGGCTGAATTTTGGGTGTATTTTGAGTGATTTGTGGCTGGATTTGGGGTGGATTTGAGATGAATTTTGAGGTGAATTTGGGGTGAATTTTGGGTGTATTTGTGGTGATGTTGGGGTATATTTTGGGTGGTTTTGAGATGAATTCATGCTGGATTTTGGGGTGAATTTTGGGTGTATTTGGGGTGTTTTTTGGCTGTATTTGGGGTGAATTTGAGATGAACGTTGGGGTGTTTTTGAGGTGAATTTGGGGTGGTTTTTGGGTGTATTTGGGGTGAATCTGAGGTGAATTTTGGGTGTATCTGGGTGAATTTGGGGTGGATTTAAGATGAATTTTGGGGTGGTTTTTGGGTGTATTTGGGGTGAATTTGAGATGAACATTGGGGTGTTTTTGAGGTGAATTTTGGGCGTATTTGGGATGAATTTGAGGTGAATTTTGGGTGTATCTGGGTGAATTTGGGGTGGATTTAAGATGAATTTTGGGGTGGTTTTGGTGTGGTTTTTGGCTGTATTTTGGGTGAATTTGAGATGAATATTGGGGTGGTTTTGAGGTGAATTTTGGGTGTATTTGGGATGAATTTGAGATTAATTTTGGGTGTATCTGGGGTGGATTTAAGGTGAATTTTGGGGTGATTTTGGGGTGTTTTTTGGGTGTATTTGGGTGAATTTGAGATGAACGTTGGGGTGATTTTGAGGTGAATTTGGGGTTTTTTTTGGCTGTATTTGGGGTGAATTTGAGATGAACGTTGGGGTGTTTTTGAGGTGAATTTGGGGTGGTTTTTGGGTGTATTTGGGTGAATTTGAGGTGATTTTGGGTCCTTCCCCAGCCCCAGCCCGGCGCCCGTTCCCGCGGCCGCGCCCCGAGGAGCCGATCAAGCCGTACTCGCTGAGCGAGCGCGACTGTGAGCGGGGGCGGGGCCGGGGGCGGGGCCATGGGCGTGGTCAGAGGGTGGGGCCAGGGGGTGGGGCCAGTGCGGGGGGGTACCTGGGGGGCAGCTGAGGGTACCTGGGCACACCTGGTGGTACCTGTGGGGCAGCTGGAGACAACTGGAGGGCAGCTGGGGCTACCAGGGGGCACCTGGGGGGCAGCTGGGGGTACCTGAGGGGTACCTGAGGGGTACCTGGGCACACCTAGAGGTACCTGAGGACACTTGGGGGTACCTGAGGGGTACGTGAGGGGTACCTGGGCACACCTAGAGGTACATGAGGACACTTGGGGGTACCTGGGGGGCAGCTGGGGGTACCTGAGGGGTACCTGAGGGGTACCTGGGCACACCTAGAGGTACCTGAGGACACTTGGGGGTACCTGGGGGGCAGCTGGGGGTACCTGAGGGGTACCTGAGGGGTACCTGGGCACACCTAGAGGTACCTGAGGACACTTGGGGGTACCCGCGCCTGGGCTCCGGCAGCCGCCGCGGCGCCTCCCGGGCCGGCCCCGCCGCGCCGCCGCTACCGAGCGCGGCCGCAGGTGAGGGGAGAGCGCTGAGGGGGGCAGAGAGAGGGGGCGGGGTTATGCAAATAGCGCCGCAGAGTGGGTGGAGTTATGGAAATAGAGGGGGTGTGGGTGGCGGGGATGGGCGGGGTTATGCAAATTGAGCGCGGGTTGTTTTTGGGATGGGGTTATGCAAATAGGGAGCGGTGGGTGGGGCGGGGACATGCAAATTGAGGTTTGCGTGGAATACTAAGGTAGGGCGTGGTTATACAAATGAGAGCCTTAAATAGTTTCGCTTTGCCGCTAGCAGGGCGTGGTTATGCAAATTAGCGCCCTTAAATAGTTTCGCTTTTGCCGGTAGTGGGGCGCGGTTATGCAAACCGTGGGCGTGTCCATGCGGGGGGCGGGGCTTCCTGCTGGGGGCGGAGCCCTGGTGGCAACCAAAGGGGGCAAATCCCCCAGAAATGGGGTAAATCCCCCAAAAATGGGGTAAATCCCCCCAAAATCGATAAAACCCCCTTTTCCCACGGGATAAACCCCTCCTGAGTAACTCAATCCCACCCCTGGGCGCTCCCTCACTCCCCCAGCCCCAAATTCCCATTTTCCCCCCACATTCCCCCTTTTCCCCCCCCAAATTCCCCTCAATGGGGCTGTGGTGTGTCAGTGGGTGTGGTCAGTGGGTGTGTCAGTGGGGCTGTGGGTGTGGTCTGTGTGTGTGACGGTGGGCCTGTGGGTGTGTCAGTGGGTGTGTCAGTGAGGCTGTGGGTGTGGTCAGTGGGTGTGTCAGTGGGTGTGTCAGTGGGGATGTGGGTGTGGTCAGTGGGTGTGTCAGTGAGGCTGTGGGTGTGTCTGTGGGTGTGGTCAGTGGGTGTGTCTGTGGGCTGTGGGTGTGTCAGTGGGCGTGTCAGCGGGCGTGGCCCCGCCCTGACGCCCCTCCCCCGGCAGTCCTGCGGGAGGAGCCCGAGCCCCCCTGGCCCTTTAACCTGTCGCGGGGGTCTCCGGTGCGGGGCAGCCTGCGGCCCTTCCTGCTGCGCCGGGAGACCCCGCCGGGGACCCCCCCGGAGCCGCCCCCGCGCCGCGCCAGGTACCCGCACACCTGGGGGGATGGGGGG